ACACAGTTTAATTCAAGTCCCTCATGTTTACAAAGTTTTTACACCTTTGATCGAAATAGAAGTTTTTGGTTACTGTAAGAGATGGCATACTGACCTCAGCATAAGGCCAGTGGCAAAGGGCTATGAAAAAGTCCCGTACCTTGTACAATTACATCATCATCCACATAGATAGCCTTCTCTGCATGAGGTACCAAACTGGGCAAGTAGAATCTGGCAAAGGTTAGCTGTGAAAACATGAAAGCAAGGTAAGTGAAGGATTAAATGACAAATTGCCAAAATTAATGTGAAATTGACTGATATTCCTGGTGCTTATCTATGGTAATAATGCCCAAAACAACTTCTACCAAGGAAGTAAAATAGGCAGCAATATCCTAGAAGCTATTTAAAATAAACAAGTTCCATCAATTTCTGGTTTCCTATGAATTTGTGCATTAATAAACTAACTTAAAAACTGGTCTATATTAGAATTTCTGATTTCTCCACATAAATCTGTAGTATCTCTGAGGTGATAGCATGCTTGACATGCAAGCTGCTGTGTTTCACTGTAGCCAGCGGCAAAAAATGGTATGAGGCATGCACAGGTAGATTTCAAATCCATATCTCACTATCTGGAAGTTTACTGAAATTTAGGAATTTCATTATAAAAGACTGGTTCTATGGCAAGAGATTTGGTTTTGACCTCTGGCTGTGTATCTAATAACTGAAAAAAATAATCAACATCATCCTCACTGGTTTTAAGGTGTCTGCCTTTTGAGGATCCACTTCTATTTTCCCTTCTAAGACACGAGGGTCAAAATCCAAAATGCGGTATCTCAGATTTTTCAAAGCAATGTTACTTAGCCACAGCCTGCAAACAGAAAGAAAGGCACAGATCAAAGGATAAAAGAACAATCTAGAAAAATTGAGAAAATTCACTCCCAACATTTGAATTGCTTAGATGAAATACAGAAATATGAAAATTTTACAACCTCTCCACCAACAAATTCCAGCCCCAGTGGTTGGATATAACCCCACCAGAAAAGATGGCTCTTTTCCCTCTCTGAAACATTGCCAGAAGGAATGACTGTAGGAGTCTCCACAACAGCCTTGTGAACAAGCTGCAATAAGCAGCAGCAGACAGGACTGCAATTTAAAGGACTGCAGTCCCAGGGAATGTCCATTTTTCCTCTTCTCAGAGACACTTACGTGTTTTACAGTATTGCAGGAATCTAATTAAAAGATCATTACCTCAAGTGATCCACTGTATCATTCAAAGCAACAATATGGAAAACCACGTTGGATCTGGTGTGACGGTAAATACTGTTCATGGCTGCAATTGCACCCCCTAGCCTCTCATCTGATGCTGCGATGACCACAGAAATCTCCTTATCATTCCTTTCATCTGCCAGCCTCTGGGGAACTGCAGGTATGAAATCTATTGGCTGAAGTCCTAATGGATTTGCATCTGTGGAGTACAAATGCCATCACATACTTGTTCTATGCAAATGAAACAGACATTATTACCACACTAAAATTTTCAACACCTTCAATTATTTCTACTACGCAAGTACTTGGATATCTCAGATGAGGTGTGGATTACAGTATGCTAGCCAGTATCAAACACTTAAAACACAGCACATGCTCTTGAGAATTGAGATGTTCATGAACAGGAAAATTTACACTTCCATATAAGCTACATGCATTTAACCACACATATTCACACACGGCACAATAAGGTACTAAAATGAGGCTTAAAGTACAGCAGGCTGCACTTACCTTTGGACCCCCCTGCCATGCCTATAATCTGACTTCGCTCCCATTTACCCAATCCACCTTCTAGTCTTCTCCACATCACCCTTCCCTATTTTTCTTACACTTTTCTTCAAAGGTAGGAACCAATGAAGAACACAGAAATCCTAAATTACAGTCGCTGTTGCAAATTTTTTCCCACTGAAGATCAAGGCATGAGGTACATCTTCCATGTTTGTTCCAGGGATCACAGATCACACTTCATTTTCAAAGCTGAAATCTCAAAAATTTATAGTCACAGTGTACAGATAAGAAAATGGGAGGTCAGCATTGAAGTTTATTACAAGACCACATCACCCATAAAAACATGCCATTACCTATACCCACAGTTTTTATAAGAAATGATCTAGACTATTACATATTAGACAATTTGGGGGAATTTGAGGAACATAGCAAACAGGGACTTGGCAGTCTGTGGGCAGTAGTCTGCTGTTCACAAAGCTGCGCTTCTGCTTCTGTTTGCAATTTCCTGATGACAGAACTCAACAGCTTTGACTTCAACAGATTGCTGGTTAAGGTCTGTCAGGCTCCAATTCAACTGCTGTTGGGAAACACCTGTGCAACTGCTACCTAGATATCACAGCTCCCAGGAATGGTAAACTGGGGACATGAAGAGGCTCTGTGGGACCACATGCAGTTCCTAAAAGTAGTCTCCTGAAAAATAAGTCTTTGCGAAATAAACTGAGTCATAACTTAATGACTTCTAAAGCCATTAAGGAGGAACCCTTACTGCTTTCTCTTCTGGCTTCCTGACCAAGAAAAGTCAAAGAACAGCAAGACCAGACAAGCCCACCAAGCTGAATTTTCCTGGGTATGAGAACAGGGATCTATTAAAAAAAAAAAAAAAAAAAATTCCAAAAATCATATCTTGTTATGTAAACAACTGATCATTATTGTACTCATTATTTCAGCAATGTGGTGGTTTCTGTCTGGCCAGAGCATGTGCTTTCTCACCAATCTTGAAAAAAATACTCATTTCAAAGCTAAAATAAATCCCAACATACCTGTCAACTCCCGTTTCAAGAAGTCACTGAGGCCTAGGAAGTTATGATGAAGAACCAGCAAAAATATGACAACAGCCACTATAAGGATGGAAATGTTCACTGAAAATTTAGAAAAGTTTATCAATATAACCAGAGAAAGACTGGGAAACTCAGAAAAGCACAAAAGAGAGTTTTAAAAAATTCAATACACACATATGCACATACCTTTCCTTAATGACATTTTCCTCTTGTTATTTCATTTATTGGCATAAGATTCCTGCAAACCTGAAAGAGAAAAAACACAGCAGTCACACTTTGCTTCCAGTGCATGCCTACACAAGGCATAGCACAGTCACCAGGAGTGCCAGAAACAGTTTCCAAATGTAGTTAATGTCTCCTCCTCTTAAAATAGATAAAACTATATGCCACCTTTTAATAACAGAGCGTGGTGTCTTGGTAAGTGCATATGACATACCTACAATGATGTATCTAAAGAAGAACTCTGAGACAGAAAGCGAGACATACAGATCTTGCCACGTACTTCACTGACAGAAAAAAACCTCCTCCTGCCAGTCAAAACTGATCTGAAAAGAATCTGGAAGATTACATATGGTTTTCTCATTGTTGAACCAATTCGTTTAACCATCTGAACTAGAAGCACCCCAGCAACAAGGCAAAGGATTATACATTTCTTTCCATACCTAACTAAGCGCAAGATTTTAACACATAGCACTATACATTCTCATTCTCTACAGAAAGCAACATCAGCTGAAGTATCGTCACACGAAAGTGTGAGGGAAGCTACCACCATCGTATTAAAGAAGGGAGTAAACCCACCATGCAGCGATGCAATTTTGGTACGCAATTCAAACACACTTACTCGTTAATTAACGGTAAATGTGCCTGTAAAATCAGAACAAGAACTACACATCCTGGAGCATGAAGCAGCTCTCAAGTGACCCACAGAACGCACTCAAAACTTACCAGCATGCAGACTTCAAGCAGCAGCTACAGCTCTATATTAAAACCCTTGCAAAGCCCCCACATTAAATACCGCAAACTGCGTGGTAACTATTACGTGTGTCAGACATAACCGCGGTATTCCCGCTGTCGCGGTTCTGCCAGGGGAAGCCGCATTGGCCGGGCACCAGGAGCGACCGCCGGTGCCAGCCCAGCGCTGCTGCCGGGGTTCACCGGCGCGCACAAGCCGACACGCGGCTCCCGCCCCTCCGCGAGACCACCGCGGCCGGTACCGAAGCCACTTTCAGCCCGACTTTACCAGAGGCTGAAGACAAAACCCCACACGGAACCTTAGCACACCTGCTGATGGCCGCGCTGCCGCAGGCCATTACCGCCCTGACACGGTGCACACGGCCACCTGAGCGTCCTGAGTGTTCGTTCGTTCCCCCCCCCTCCTCCCGTCCCGTTTCACCGCCTCCTCTACGAGCGGCACAAACCGCGCTTTTCCTCTTAAGAGAGTCCCGCTCAGCCTCTCCTGCGTGCCCCGCGGGAGGCACAGCACAGGCATGGCTGCAAGAGCCCCGCTCTCCTCTACCGAGACCCTAGCTTACCTCACCGATCGCCCGCCCGCACCACCGCCAACTGCCACCTCGGCAACGAACGTCCCCAGCGGCCGCCCCCCCACGCCCAGCAGCAGCCCGAAGGGTGGGTGTCCGCAACGATGCCTGACGGCCGCAAGGCAAAAAAGCTGCACCGTGCTCGTTCTACGGTACTAACGGAGCGGCGGCAGCTTCGCGAGAAATGCCCGCCTGCCAGCTGAAAGTCAACGTTGATTCTGAGACAGGCGACGACGCAGGCACATCACACCTGCCGGCCGAAGGCCCCTCAGATCGGCTCAAAGCCGCCGTTGCCGGGGAGACAGCGTCCCACGCCGCGTGGTGTCGGCCGGTGAGAATGGAGGAGCAGGGCGATGGCGGCGCGAAGAAGGCCGAGCCTGAGGACCAGGCTCAGGCTCACGCTCAGACCCTGTCCTGGGACAACAGCGGCAGCAGAGACAACGGCACCCCGGAAGCGCCGGCTGAAGCAGGCGGCTGCGCCCTCCAACTGACGACGGAGGGGGCGGAGCGGAAAAGGAGTGCTTCCGGCCAGATCAGCAGCACTCTTCCGTTTCTGCGGCACCGCGCCGACCCCTGGTACCCGCTGAGCCGCACCTCCGCCTCGCAGAGCTTTGGAGGGGAAGAGGAAGACGACGACGACGACGACGACGACGACGACGACGACGACGACGAAGACGAAGAAGAAGAGCAGGACGAGGAGCGCGAGACACCACTCTCCGCCGCCATGTTGAACATCCGCTCCATCCCCACGCAGATGGTAGGGCAGCGCCGCGAAGGGCTGGCCGCGCCCGGGCCCTCCTCGCATGTCGCTGCTGGTTGCAGCGCTGCCTGCGGGGTTCAGCGATCCCTTCTTCCGTGCCGTGCTGGCAGCCGCGTGTGAGGAGCCGCTGCTGGGTGCGGGGTGGCGCTTCGTGTCATTACGATTTATTTTTTGGCTGAAAATTAGAGCTTTAATGTGCTGTAAAACGAGAGTAATACACAGGTGTGGGAGGAAATCCATCCGTACTTGTATGGCTATGCTGTATACAGACAGAAGACAGAGTTTTCATTAAAGCCACTCATGCAAACAGAGGTGACATAAATCCATATCCTCTGAAGCACGTACTGTCTTCTGGAAGGGGGGGAGTTACAGCGTTATACCTCAGGATACTTATCTAACTATAATGATATCTTGAATTTGCATTATTTATTCTGAGCAGACTTGCTTTTATTTTTAGATGATGTGGTGAAGACTGTAGGGGTTAATTGAGTTGAGAACTTAACTCTTTTACCCTTGTAATCCAGACACTGTAAGAAAAGTAACATCAGTCTGGTTTGACAGTTGAACAAAAAAGCTGAGAAGGTGTGATGGGGCTGTCCCCAGGTGCTCACCTGAGTTTTAAGTGGCAGGTTTGTGGTTTGGGTAATTGACAAGATATCTCTTTCCACAGGACTACAAGGGTCAAAAATTAGCAGAGCAGATTTTTCAAGGAATTATTCTTGTCTCTGCAGTAAGTATACCGGAATTATGGGCAATAACATCCAGGATTCTGTTATCTTACAAACAAGTTGGGTTTTCTTATTGTTTGGCTTAAGTGGGTCACTAAAAGCCTATGACAAAATCAAGGGGGTTCTCATGGATTCAGACTTTCCTTTTTCAATCTTTTACTTTCATTATTGGTCTAAAGTTTTAAAAACAAGGTTAGAAAGATGTGCGAACTGTGCTCTTGAAAACATCTTGTTTTCTGCTTAGCTTTCCCAGACACACACTTAGTCATGGCACCTTGATGTGCTTGTGAGGTGGGCTGATGCGAACCTCATGAAGTTTAACCATGCCAAGTGCAAGGTCCTACACCTGGGTCAGAGCAATCCCAGGCACAGCTACAGGCTGGGCAGAGAAGAGATTCAGAGCAGCCCTGAGGAGAAGGACTTGGGCGTGCTGGTCAATGAGAAAATGAACATGAGCCAGCTTCAGTGTGCACTTGCAGCCCAGAAACCAACCGTATCCTGGGCTGCATCCAAAGGAGCGTGACCAGGTCGGAGGAGGTGATCCTGCTCCTTTATTCTGCTCTCGTGAGACCACACTTGGAGCATTGTGTGCAGTTCTGGTGTCAACATAAAAAGGACATGGATCTGTTGGAACAAGTCCAGAGGAGGCCACGAGGATGATCAGGGGACTGGAGCACCTCCCGTATGAAGACAGGCTGAGGAAGTTGGGGCTGTTCAGCCTGGAGAAGAGAAGGCTGCGTGGAGACCTCATAGCAGCCTTCCAGTATCTGAAGGGGGCCTATAGGGATGCTGGGGAGGGACTCTTCATTAGGGACTGTAGCGACAGGACAAGGGGTAATGGGTTAAAACTTAAACAGGGGAAGTTTAGATTGGATATAAGGAGGAAATTCTTTCCTGTTAGGGTGGTGAGGCACTGGAATGGGTTGCCCAGGGAGGTTGTGAATGCTCCATCCCTGGCAGTGTTCAAGGCCAGGTTGGATAAGGCCTTGGGTAATATGGTTTAGAGTGAGGTGTCCCTGCCCATGGCAGGGGGGGGTTGGAACTTGATGATCTTAAGGTCCTTTCCAACCTGAACTATTCTATGATTCTATGGCAAATTGTTCATTTTAAGTGTGATCTTTAAATTTTGTTTTGCAGATAATTGGCTTCATCTATGGCTACATCACTGAGCAGTTTGGATGGACCGTCTACATAGTTATGGCTGGATTTGCTTTATCGTGTTTGGTAAATTTTTTTTTGCTCCCAAACCAAAAAATATGTGCACCTGAATGCATCATTAAATTAAGGGGCTGTCAACACAGACAAGTATTTCCTATATAATTCTGACTGTTGATGCGTATTTGTACTCTCTTTCATTTGTAGAAAGTGCTTTACAAGCCAGGAAGTGCGTTTTCTTAAAGGCTAGTCAGATTTTAGAGAACGCTGCAATTTAATACTGCTTTAGAATTATTTTTTATTTCAATTAAATGTTACTTTTAAGTCAAGTTGATAGCACTTATAACAGAAAGGACAGTGAGGCTTTCTGTGCAGTAGCAGCTTGTCAGAAGAAATGTACAGCTGGCCCATGCCATTTTAGGAGAGAAGTGAGAACAGAAAGCATAGAATTACAAGAGTAATTCCTTATTCCTGCACATGAGGTGTCCCATTCCAGTCGGAGCACACTGAATCTGGGTTTGCAAGTGGTTCTTACACCTTTTGAGTGTTCAGATGCCACATGATTTGGCCAATCACTACTTAACACACACGTACTACCATTCTGAAAAGCCACTACAGTTCTATGGCATCACCCTCCATCTGCTTTCTCAAGCTAAACATCCTCATAGTTGGTCTTGGTACAGTTACTTAGCTCTGAGGCCAGGTACTGGAGGGTTTCACTGAAGCATTGGAGAGGTTGGGTTGCTGGTGTTACCTCAGTAATCCAGGCTGGGTGTAGTCCTCCTCCTTGAAATTCGCTGGGGTCCTTTAGTCACCCATAATTATGCAGGATACAATGTAAAATATATATATCTTTATAATATGAAATTGTGTGAACTTTCTGAACACTAATTGGAACACTTCTCTAGCACCTTGATTTACATGTTTTGCCTCCATTCCTTTTCTCTAAGCTAACACTCCCTCCGTGGCCTATGTACCGTCGCAATCCTCTGAAGTGGCTCCCTGTCCAAGAGTCAGGAACAGAAGAAAAGAAGCCAGCGGACAGAAAGCCAAAGAGACATGCTAAAAGTTAAACCCCCTCCCTTCCTAGTTCTTTATGCTGTTACTTTGTTAAATTTTAAGTGCATTTCCACTAAATGATACTTCTTGGCTTGGTGTTTGGGTTTTTTTCTTACCGCTTTGTATACTACTATGAGCACACCAAGATCTGCAGAGAGCATGAAAACTCTAAATCTTGGCTGGAGTGTCAGTGAAGTCACTGGGAAGGCAAAGGTGGGGAGGGATTAACCTCCAAAAGCTAGTGGAGGTCACGTCTCACTTGGGTATTCTACTAAAAAGGAACACAGCAAATCAAATCAAGTGTACTTAAGCTGTTGTCATAGCCTAAAAAAAAAATCTGGATTTCTGCTAAAATATCTCTAACCATGTGTAAAACAATCCATCCATATGGTCAGGTTGTACCAAGTCCTGTAAAAGGGTCCATAGCCCAGGGTTCTGAACAAGGCTTAGAGCTGGAAACTTTCTAGGATAGGAGATTCTACAGTGGCAGGTTTTGCTTACATAAATTTGCCCAGGTAGAGAAAGTAACACCTTGACTCTGCAGAATACAGCAGCTCTTGAAATCTTTTAACTTGAGCCTCTAACATGCCAGAGGCAGCAGGATCCAAAGGTATAGCATGTCTTTACTGTCATGTTCATCTCCCTCACAGGTGCTCGAGATTACAATATTTAAACTAGAGGTAGGGAAAGAGACAGGTTGTGCATTTAAAATTTTATTTTAGAAATTCAATTACCTTTTCACTTTTTTGTACTTTAAAAAAAAGTGATTTTCCTACAGTGATGGTACATGACACTGCCTGGGCATGTGTAGCAACACAGTCTAGGTGCAAGGAAGGGCAAAAGTTATGATGCCTATTTGTCTAAGTGACTCTGGTCTTGGGCACTTCCATTCCTAAAAGGAATTGCTATTTGTAAGGCAAAGGAAGTTCTCCAGCTGGGACCATGGTAACCATGGCTGTGTTGTTTTCGAACATTTTCACACATATCCAGTTACCAAATACTTTCCACTGCCTCAGTGACTGCCTTAGCAATAAAACACAAAAAGAAAGGCTCCACTTAAAAGCAGCACAGCCACCCCCTTTAGCACTTTAACTTGGCAATTTACAGAAGATGAAGGGATTTTGGTGCTATAAAAATTAGTAATTGTTTCTCCCTGCTAAGTTTGCACAGCTACTTGGTATAATATAGCTTGTAGCCTATCACACCATAGCCCTGGCATAAACTTCATTACTCCATTATCACATAACCATACCAAAAACCTTTTGCACATTCAAACCAAAACTGGTTCTGATGCTCCTTTCTGTACAAAACTCCATCTGTCCCTCTTTTCATTTATAAAAAGCAACTTCTTAAAAAGTTTCATTAAGAGAATAAAAACTAAACTAAGCAGTTTCTCTTCTGAGAAAATGATAATCTGGCTCACATTTTAACATAAAAATATAACTACACAGTTTTTTGCAAGTTCACCTCCTTATTCCAGCAAAGGAGGTGCTCTGTAAACTGGTCCAGTCTATCAAATGGGCTATAAACCAGTCCTTTTCTCTGAGGGAAGGGGTCTGGTCAGAACTTTACATTTTTTTCAAGAAACTTCAGATGTCGTGCCTTGGCACTGTAACTCGCATACTTGTCTCCCATATGCTCCTGCAGCTGCAGCTATTTAGAGCACACAAAAAAAGAAAAGCAACAAAATTTACTGACATTGAAAAAATCAGGAACTACTAAAAGATAAATAAAAAAACCCAAACTACCAAAGCACTCAACTAGAAGTGGCACATAAAGTTTGAAACACACATGGGAAGGAAGAAAAATAGCCAAGTCTGTTGTCCAAAGGCAAGAGTTCCAAATCCCACCCAACAATTTGAAACATAAATCAGATCTTCACAGGTTACACTTAACCATGCAGCAATTCATTTTTAACCAAGTTTTGACTCAAATGAGCTGGAGGCATTGCTCACTTGCCTCAAACAGGAGTCACCAGCAGTGACATTAAACTGTCACTCTGGACATGAGGTGCATGAGGGAAGTAACGTGTAGTCAAAAATAAATACTTTTTGGAATCAAGGTTTGCACTACTATATCAATATCTAAAAGGGAGATGTGGCGGGGGGAAGACCCTGCTCATTTATCCAGGTTTATAAAGAAATCAAACAATTTTATTATGAGAGACATTCACCTCTCTCTTCACTTCATCTTCTTCTTCCATGATGCTGTACACCTTCTCAAGAAGCTTCACTCCCAGTCCTTGAACCACATCAGATCTCAGGATTTCAACCATTCTCCTAATCTTGTTAGGAACTGATAACATATCTATTAAAAAATGCAGTAAGATAAGTAAGTTTTTAAAATCAATGCAGTAATAAGTACTTTCAGTGCAGTCAATTTTCATACTCTCTGCAGAAGAACATGGGACGACTGAATGCATTACTTCAGAATTCCAGCTCACCATGTGCAGGAAATAACTTTATCTGAACGGGCTGGCTAGGATGATCACAAATGTCAGAACCTGAAGCACTCAGCTGCTAACTCTTGCAACACTGGGCAGGACAAAATCAAGTCAGACAAAGTTTGCACAATTAGGACCCTGTAACTTCATTTCAGCTGTTTCCTGCATACTGTATTGGAAGTATTATTTGAATGGAAAGTACTACTCTCTAATAGTGCATCATCAGCCAAGTATTTCAGTAACTCAATCCCTTGTACTTAAGCAAATGTAAGAAAAGTTTAATCACTGTAAAACACTAATGGCATCATTTCTGTCATCTGTCTCTCTGTCTCAACAGCCTTTGAAGCTTTTGCTCCTCAGCAGAAGCTGCCAACAAGAGACAGTCATTTTATAAGGGGAGGCCTCTGTTAGGAACTGAGAACACCAGCTTGCTCTTTTAATCACTGAAATCACCGACACTCCTTTTATAGGACGGACCACTTTGTCAAAATAAAATATCTGATCTAATTAAAGTTTCAGCTTAGAAATTCAGTAGCTCTGTCATCCCAAATGGTAGTAAGTGAACAGCTGGAGGATCATACCACACAATAATTAAGAGGCAGAAAAATGGAGAGAAAAAAAACCCCAAACACTGAAATTTGTACTTTCAACATTCTGTGACACCTGCTTAGAGATTAACTCTTTCAATGTGTTTTACTTTGGCTATGCAGAATCAACCTACCAGAGTAAAATCCAGTGTTCTCCAATTGCTTTGCCTATCACCACAGCAGTTACAAGTCGAATCCTCGCCATTTAAAACAATAACGACAAGAGCATCTGAGACTTCAAAACCCCACCCTCAGCTTTTTCACTTGCTGCACAGTAACTGGAGTCACAGCAAATACAGCTGTTTTCTTGCTTTTTGGAATGCACATACATACTTGACCAGACCTTAAATATGAAAAGCAATTCAATTATTGTGCCTGTATCTGTTGGAAAAATAACCTTGCCCAAATTTTGCCATGAGGATGAACTTCTATACTCATACAAACCTCCCCTGTGTTTAATGCTTTGTGTACAATTTCAGCTTTATCCACAATTCACAATGCTTTACAGCTATCAAAATTGTATGAATGTCTTCAAAATCTTATTTCAAAATACTCTAACTGTTCATTTTGGAAGCTTCTAAGTTACTTGACTAAAAAATCATGTTGCAGACCAGCTTTCTCTCTTCGTTAGTAACTACACAGATTAAACACACATTCCTTTCCTTGGCAAGTAAACCACAACTGGAGCAGTTTTGCACACAGAATTACTTAGGATGATGATTACTTCTGTAACCATTGTTGAGATTTGAGAAGAAATGAGTGGATTGTTTTCTGTTACCCACTAGCAGGTTTTCTTTGGTTAATTATCAGTTGACAACCATTCATTTAAAGCACTAACAAAGCAACCAACCTGAAGAAATATCTTCAAATTTGAATTCCTCTGATTCACCAGGTGATTTTCCATGCAAAATCAAAGTGTCTCGATACTTTCTATGAAGTTTAAACTCTGGGGCTGGAGTTGAGGTTGCACAGTTTACAGAGTTCTCCTTAGAGTCCATTTTCAGTGTCCAGTTCATTAGCTGCACCAAGTCATTCATTTCGTTCATGTTGCTCTTTCTAGTAGAGGAGAAGATGTGATTCAGTCACTAATAATGACGCAACTTCCATCTTGGACTCAGAGGACTTTCAAAAAGTTTAGCGAGGCCCTGCTAAGTACTCCATTGTTAAGTTATTTCTTGTGATGCAGTTTTATCAACAGCAACATCACCAGTAGTTCATCTAACAAAGGCTCAGAGCCCATTCACTCAGCAAAAATTCACAATTAATGTCCCAGAAAGTTGAAGCAAGTTTATAGTCACAGAAAGACAATTAAATGGAATTCATTTTCTCGACACATCACATATTTCTTCAACCACTATGTAGAGATAAAATGTGAAAGCAATTCCTGTCATTTTTTCCATTCCAAGTCAAGGTCCAACACAGCAGTGAAAGTTCTTGCACAGTATTAAACAAAACACTTACCTCTCCTTCGAGTCACCATCAGACTTATCTGTAGAGCTTGCGGAAGAGCTTAGCTCATCATCAGATGGGCAATGGGTTTCTCTCTTTCTCTAAGTGAAGACAAAAATTCAAATAGCTGAAAGCAACTTATCAATATGGCACAAGCTACTGTTCTTATGTGCAAGAAACATTTTCAAGCATATTTTACAGACTCAATAATATCTGAAAGGTGCAACCTTTGTTCTAAAAACAAGCTAATAAACAGGACATCATCAGTATTTTTTATGAAATGCTTATGTGACAAACATTACATCTGAGTCATGCAGTTTTAACCACTATAAATGCTTCACTGAGTTCCTCTATTAGTAACAAATCTTGTTTCAGTTCTTTACCAATTGTATTATAAAGTCCATCTATTGGTCTTTTAACACACATTTTAAAAGAATATTTAAATATTTTATCAGTCAGTAAGTTCCTAGCATTCCCTAAAATATAGAGATTTTAACCACCTGTGTGTTGTGTTCAGTGCATAGCATAATATGCAAAACCATCACTAGCATATTTACATACAATTTAATCTCAGTTTGTGAATACAAATGAAGTTTGTACATTTAGATATC